GGAATTCAAAGATACGAAGTCAACCAACCAACACTGAGTTAGTGTGGTTGACTAATGGGGTAGTAAGCCCAAACTTAGGTTAGGTAGGTAGATATTGACAGTAGTGAGAGACAATAAAAAGGTACATTCTTGGACTAATAAATGTATTTTATAGATTAAAAGTTGACAAAATCAAATTCTCTATCCAATTTCAGAGTTAGAACTAAAGATTCCTTGACACTATCCCAGTTTGCTTTAGAATTGTCTGGGTCGATATCATGTGGTAGTGCAAGCTTCAAGTAATATTGCGGAGATTGAATCGTAACACTTTTTGTATCAACAGTCAGTTCCACGTTCTCTTTCTTATCTCCTGGTAGTTTGATCCTCACTACAAGGTTTTCGCAACTCGCTGAAGATGGTGTTTTCGGACCCATCTGTTAGAAAATACCAACATTTAAAAATAAGAAAAAAAAAACAAAGAATTAATTTTCTTTTTTAAAGGTAATGTAAAACATTATCTATGGAAGCAAGGATATACCAAACATCTTTAAAAGAAATACTATTTTAAAACACCCAAGACGTCTCAATGATTTAGCTTTTATAACTATTTCTACTATAGTTCTATTTAATTAAAGGATCTTCGATTGTCCTAGCTTTGTTATAAATTTCATCAGACAGGTAAGAACTCAAACTTTGACCGTTATAAATGCCTATTTCCACTTGGTGCCTAACCGCGCGAATCGAGCCACGCGCGACTGTCATCTTTTATTGTAGTCGCGGCTGCAGCAGTGGAAATCTCGGGACTCCATTTAAATAGCAGCCAGTAGCGCAGCCAGGTGTAAAGCGGTAATTAGATCTTATGAACCTGCAAAAAAACATCTTCCGCGCTGACAGATTGCTGATAATTCATAGTATATTCAGGAGCCTTCCTATCACCAGCTCCACCGCCAGGACCAGCTAAACTATCAAGTTCTGCTGCTTCTTGCTCTTCATATTCCTCTATTGTGCGTGGTCCTTTTGTATCATTCGTACTAGGACACGGCACTTTGTCTCTATTCGATGTTATTTCGTAACCTAAAATTTTAAATACTATTTTATTTACCTAAAGTAATCCATCATACGATTAACGAAAACATGTAGAACATAATATCGTAGATACATTAAATGTTGTAAGTGTGAAATAATAAAATTTCTTTTTTTTTACAGGCATATGTATTCCTTCTGTGTCATAAAGGAAATATAAGTTTGGATGAAGAGCTCCCTGTATGTTGGACACACTGTATATAAGTAAATATGTTATAGTAGTTGTTATCGTTGAGCAATAAATTTATATAGGTCATAGTACGGTTCTTAAGATGTATAAACCAAAAGTCTAATTAATTTAAAAATATTTCATTGCAATATATCGGTCTCAATTCAAAGCATACCTTAAATTATTAATATTAGAATGTATGGAATGTTTAACCTTGACATAGAAGATTTAATCAAAACATCAACGTTTACAGTTGATTTGCCGTCTCTATCGGAATATTTCAACAACAGCCATATCTAAATAAAACCTTATAAACTAAACATATTGAAATCTTCAGTAGCTAGAATTGAAAATGACATAAGATTGCCAACAGATGTCGTTGATTGTAGCGCAAACACATAAATTTAAAGAATTTAAAGTGATGACTCAACTGTGGAAGATATAATTTTTTTTTCTTTTGTAAACTCTCTGAGTTCTAACATGAACCTAATATAAATGAAATAAAATGCCTACCTGAAAACGGTAAATCATCCCCTTGCAAGACTTCAGGTTCAGGCTCTCTTAATAATTCTTTCAATTTGGTCATAGCATCGTGTGTGAATTCCATTTTTGCTTTTATTTGTAACAACTAACAACAATAAGCTAAACGATGCTAAATTTTTGCAACAATGGAATTCGAATTCACCGAGTCTTACAATATTGACAAAACACATTTGAAATGTTACCATAGCAACTGTTTTTTTTTTATTTTGACACCATCTTAGAATTGATATAGAATATAAATTTAACTGACCAAATAAAAGAACTTTAAAGAATCTAAAAATATTTTTAAATAATTTCATGTTCATTTTTCTGAAATTGTTAAAAAACTTTAAATAGTAATTTAAAGTTTACCATAACTTTCTCTTTCTTTCTCTACTTATTTACTTCTTAAATATATACTCATTGCTGGATTATGAACTTTTTCCCAACAAATTGAAGCAAATAACAAAAGTACCAAAGTAAAAATAAATTAGATTATTTACAACATTGTTATGAATATGTTAGTTTAAAAGAAACACAAATTATTTTTGAAATTATCTATATTTAATTATTCAAACAGAAATTACATTGTTAATTTATTTGCAAACTCTATTACAAAAAGTGCAAATATAACTTGAAAAAATTTAAGGGAAACCATCATCATCCTCCTCTGCCATTTCCTTAGCAAGTTCAAGATCTTGTTGTTCTCTTTCTCTACGTTCTTCAGCACTTTCTAACTCCTTTCCATATGACTTAGGAGGATATCTCATTGCCTTTACACTCTGGTTATGTAAATCCAAACAGAATGAAATTCTCTGATGAAATGCCAACTGGGGTTCCCTTGTGCAATACAGATCAGAGCTCTCTTTGTTGCTCATGTAACCCTTTTCAGGGTCAAGAGTAGCCTCAATCACTCCATCCCTGATTGCTTTAGCAACAATAAATTCAGCATCCTCTGCAGAGTCCAAGCCCAACTTCCTTGCAATATCTTTGGGTGAAATGCGTGAATATGACAGACCAATTGAACGGATTGCAGTCTTGATTACATTCTGCCTTAGTCTTAAGATCAATGTAAAAGTATGATCGGTCCGGAATTGAGGTCCATAATTTTCAAGAACTTCTCCAAACCTCTGTAAGTTACCCAGCCTCACAGCTTGAGTTAGCTGGAAGTAAGGAGCCAATGCTTTTCTTAGCTGGGCTTGACGGAATATAGCACGTTCAGGTATATCACCCAGCAGCAGCTCCACAACAATAGCCAATTTCTGCACAGTTTGACGGAAACCAACTGCAGCGGTCTGTGGAGCTTTTCTCAATGCTTGAACTAAGTGCTTATGAGCATCACTGTACTCAAGCCTGGCTGCCTTAATTCTACCAAGATAATACAAAAATCTTGCCCACTCATTGTTACTAGCATTCTCAGGAAACACAGACTTACTGACCAATTTATCAGCTTGGTCATATAAAGAATAATGGAGGTAATTACGTAAAAGGCAATTAATTAAAACTGCTTGTCCTTCATAATCATTTCGAAGCGTCGATGTACGCAAACGCCCATGGAGTAATCCCCTTATCAAATCTAACTTGTTAGTAAGTTCAAAAACGCGAGAGTGATAGAAGTAGCACTTGGCAGCAATCAAATCAAGAGTTCTTCTATTCTGAGCAGTAACCTTGTTCATTAATTGCTGAGAACACTCTGTCGCTTCTTCGAGCTTGTTTGTGTCTAACAATCGCAGCAATATTAAAAGATGCACATAAGCATCTACCTCAGGAGCAGGCGTTTTTGGAGCACTCCTTGAGCGAGGTGCTTCAATTTCTACGGCTCCTGGTACAGGACTTTCAACAAAAGAAAGTAAAGCTTCTTTGTCTGAATTCGATGGAAACAGTTGATTTATTATGGCACGCAAAACATTGCCATTTAACTTCCTCCTTGTGCTTGGGATAGATCGTAATACTCGCATAGCAAATCTCGGTTCCTTGGATGAAACTGCTTTATCAATTTGTCTGACATGTTCCCGTAAGTCTTGAACAGATAGTACATCAGCATCTTTCTTCACTTCACTCATTTCAACATCGCTCACTCCTGCTGGGCTATCCGCATTTTTCATTTCGACATCTTGTTCAACCGGAGCCATTTTCTGCTATTTTGATACTTTCTTTAATAAAGATTTGTTATATTAAAGATAATAAGAGATTTCAGACAAACCAAAACTAAATTTTCATGCTGGCTGTCAGTCTGTCAAAAAATGCCGAGTAACACTTACGTTCGGCTACACTCATTTACACTTAGAAAATACCTTTGTTTTGGTTTTGGTAAAGATAATATGAAAAATTGAAAATTTCGACCGAAAAGAATGAAATCGTAATATTTGACAATTTAAAAAGCAAACTATTGACTAAAATTTACAATCCAATCCCGATAACTATGCAATGCATTATATCAACATCAATAAACATTGAAAGTTTTCAAAAGGCAACACTAGTTACTAGGGTCTAAGAACAGAAGAACAGGAACACAGTCTGTCAATCAAACATAAAATGTGTCAAACATGTTTCAACATTATATACAGATAAAGTAAATCTTTTTTTGTCTCATAACTTGCCCCTTTCCTTACACTATGATAACAATTTAAACAAAGTGCATTGCGACATTGCGAGTTCAATTTGTCATTAGCTGTATATTATCTACAATAAAATGTACAATATTTTCCTCGTTCTTAAAATTTATAGCAGTGTTCACAACACTAAATATGGGGAATTCTCTAACATGGATAATATTACAGAACATAAAGTCTTGGGTTTCTTTGTTGATAATAATCCTTCGAGCAGCTTGAAGTAAACTGTCTCATTGAAATAGTTTTTGAACATAACAATAATGTGGGTAGATTATTTATTTATAACTATGTTTATACAATATTAAGAATTGACAATTTTTGATAGTGTCTACATGTATAAGAAAAATCAATAACAGTACCGATTTTACTATTTCATAAATTCATAGTTTTTTTGTTTTACTTGCTAAACAATAATGTAGTTTTATTTATGAAGAACAAGGTGATATTTTGATGTTTATCTTTATACTAATTAACAGTAATATTTGCCTTGTGTTCTTAATAAAGGAAGCTTGAACGTAATTCATCTTTTTGCAGCCTTTTGTGTATTTTTGTGTTCTTTTCTCGCTAGCTCTCGCTCTCTGGCCTTGGAATTGCCATAATTTTTCTAATCCATAGACTATTACAGTATAGACAAGATAAAACTACTAGCATTGCTCTTAGTTGCTTAACCAATAGGTATAGTAGTGGAATACTGATAAAAAGCTTTTAACAGTTTTATTACTAATGTTACAATCGAAAAGATTTGTATTATTACCATCAAATTATCACCACAAAGGTGTGTGCCAAAAATTATAAGCTAAAGGAGAGCTGCGACTGCAGGGGACCGGTTGATTCTTTACATAAAATTTCAATGTGTTCTGGAAATGGTTTGCAAAGAGGACGTGGTATCATGGTTTAAAGAATTGGAAAGCTATAAACGCATAGACGCAATGTGTACATTGTTAAACATGTGCTTACCATTCGAACTGCGCTTTATTGGCACCTATTTGGAAGAGCTCGGTAAGCGGGATTTTCAGGAGTTGCGTGGTGCCGAACTTAGAGCCAACAATCCCACAGATCTGGCAGCTGATATTGGCGGCGCCAATTCAGATCCGAGAACGCGACGAAAAATGGCTTTATACGTATCATTATTACGTTCATGTAATTTTGTTTGTGCCACCACATTGTACAATGAAATGGTCAGTTTAGAGCAGAGTGGTCTACTGAAGGGTCTGTATGGTGATCTTTTGGAGGAGATTCTTTTATTGTATACTATGGCGTTACATCATCCTGCCTTTACGTTTGATCAGAAATCACATTTTGGTGAAATATTAGAGAAGTTGAAACTTGAAGACCAGCGAATACATTATCAAGACCAGCAAGAGCACATTATTGCACCTGTGAGTGGTTGCCATAATCAGTCCAGTATTGCACCCAATATGTCTGTTCCGCCACCCAATTTGCCTGGCTTGATACCGCCACCACCTGGTATCATGTTTGTCAAAACACCTGGGGTTCAGGTCAGTGTCACAATCATGGTAGTTCATATTTGTTTTCATTATAAACTGCATTTTTTAATCATTCCATTGTGCACATTGACAAACATATCATTGGGTTAAGTCATGTAAAATGTAGTGTGTTGTTTGTGTAATTCAGAATTATGTTTGCTCAAATACTTGTTATTGCTCTATTTACATTTGCTATTTTTGGATGACTTTTAAGTAATTAAACTTTTTTATTTGAATGCTAATTAAATGCCAATAAGGAAAGAAAATTTCTTAAAAATTTCATAAATTAGTGAAGGTTAAATCTTAAATTGCTTGAAATCAGTCTTTTATTACAAGAAATAACTAATTATCATATTTAAATAATTATCTTACATGATTTTAATTATCTTAATTGCATCAAAGTGCTGGTAATATTGCTATTATTAATACCTGAAATTGAAGTAATTCCAGCAGTTAGATAAATTTCTTTAGTGAAAAAGTAAAAAGTGATGGCCTTAACTATGATATCCTATCGGAAATTAGGGAGTGCAGGTCAAATAATTTATTATTTGGTAATAGGTCAAATAACATTTTTGTGACCATGGTAATTTTATCACTTTAAATAAAATGTTATTAAATCTGTTAATTATACATTTTCTTTAAAATTGGGTTATTGTTTTATGTATAAATGTTGCGTAACTGATTTTGTTACTTAGACTAATTTATTCCTATTACAAAAAGAATCTTTATGATTTGGGAATCTTATATTTCATAATAATATAATACTTATATTAGTGCAATGTGGAGCTTCCTGTTTATTGCATTTGTATTGTTTATTCAAATTTTTATTACATGAATTTAGTAAATAATGGGTTTGTCTCACATTTTATGCTTTAACTTTACACCATTTAACTTGTATCCATTATTCAAATTCACTTTCTTCATTTTACAATTATAAAGTATAAAATAGAGAAAAATTGTGAAAAATAATGTTATGATTGCCATCAATAGTCACACACGCTTGTTTACAAATATTACATCTTTAGTTGAGATATTGAAACTAGCTATATTGTAATATCAATAAGCAAAATTAATAACAGTATTATTATTAATTAGTTCAATTGTTTTAAACAAATTAAACAAGATGTGAAAATTTAGTACTGATAGATGTAGGTGAGTGCCAAGTCTCAGATGTGGATGTCAAGAACTGATTTGGAAGAGACAAATTACAAAGAGAGAGCACAATAGTTTTGAAGTAAATAAAGAATGGTACATTCAAAGTTTTGATTAAAAATATATCTTAATTTCCAGCCTACGAGCACTGATGGTGTACCTGAATTAAGTTCACCGCCAGTTCTGACAAGTGCTGGTGGTGTAGTGCCAATCCTAGCAGAAGTTACCCATGCTCCACCTGGACTGCCACTTCCTCAGTACAACATGACGGAGTTCATAGGACAACATGGATGGCCTGCAAATATTATTGTATCTCCACTAACACAACCATTAGAGGTAATATACTTATATATTAACATCCTTGCCACAGTTTAAAAAACTATATTTAAAGTGTATATACAACAGCCATACGATAACATTTTTATCCCAATTTTGGAGCGAAAAATCCATTTGTGAGTTAATGTTTCTATGTGTGCACCAGTTAAAATTTTCCTTCGGTTAATTTATTGTTAAAGCATGTAAAATAATATTGACTAACTTGAATATATAATCACAATAATTCACTCAATGGGAGTTTAAATAATTTCAGGTATTAAATTATCCTACGGCGGCGGGTGCGCCTCAGTCGCCTCTGATGTCGTCCCCGGGCGACAGTCGCGCGGGCTCGCCCCGGGCGCGCCGGCGTCCTTCCCGCGATCGCTCGCCGCCACTACCGCCGCTGCCCTCCGCTGTTTCAGATCCAACTCCCTTGCCACACATTACTGCCAACTTTGACAATTTAACAGTAGCTGAGGTATGTTGTCTAATGTTATCGTTATATAACACATTTTACCCTTAACTCACCAAAGTAAGCTAAAAATTAATTTTTCAACATTTATTTGGGGAAGGAGTATTATTTGGGCAATCTATTTGTGGGTAAATTTTGAGTTACGTTGTAGGCAACTTATTTTCTTTTTCCTTTACAGATACGACATAATATAGGAGAGGATAGGTTACGTGAAATCAATGCAGTACATCAACAATATCGATCATTAGAGAAATTGAATGGAGTAAGAAGACGAGCGGGCGCGTACATCCCGCCTACTCGTTCGTCATCGGACAGCGGGTCGAGTGCCGCGTCGTCGCCGCCAGGGACTCCCGCGCCTTCGCAGCGCAGGGCCACACCTTCGGGGCCCGCGCCCGCGCCTCAGATGCCGTTCCTCCCCTACCCTCGGCCCTTCGCCTACCCGACACCCCCGCCGGGTTTCAGACCGCCCCAGCCGTCTTACGCGAACGGCGAACCCCCACCATATTCGACTCCGTCATACGCTGGCTTCGTTCCCGTAATATACGCACCACCTAAACTATCGTGTTGGAACTGCGGCGCGGCCGGCCACGCGGGCCACGACTGCAAGGAGCCCAGTATGGAGGAGATGACTCGAGCCGGTGGATATCAGCTGGATTTCGGTGGCGCACCTCCGGATTCAACGGACAAGTAGCATTGGTGGCCTCGCTGAGGTGAGTTGTTGACTCTATAAAGCGGTCTGCGTCGTCGCTTCCATCGCAGGCAGGTAGCATGCGGACGGCGACTGGAATCGGGCGGAGTACGTTCGCTCAGCCGGGGCGGCACAAATACCCTTGTTTAATGCAATCTGACATTTCTCTATATAGATTAAAATTAACAGTGTGTGTACAGTGGTAGTGTTACATGCGCTTGCTGTAACGTATTTTATTGTGGTGGTAATTAATGCGCATCTCGCTCTCCAGTGTATTGCACTTTCAATAATTTATTTTTATAAAATTCTAGATTTAGGTTAAATTTGAATTTTGCAGGCGTAGATAATCAAGTTGTTATATGAATCAGTAGCGGGGCAATCTTCCTGTGCTAGCACTACTTGATACCATATACTTAGTCTGTAAAGATAGAGAATGCTGACTTACCTACCATCGTAATATATGGTAGTCTTGTTTGTATTTTTGTTCATCCTGTATTTGTCTATAATGGGATTATGCAGTTAAAATATGAACAAAAACCTTGATAAGATATCCATTTACGCTAACTAAAGTAAACAATCTAGTGACGATATATAAGTGAGCGTAGGCGGGTATTGTTACTTTGAATGCAAATGAAAAATACTATTATAGCAATCTCTTTAAATGTATCTTAATATGTCACAAGTTAACTTTTATATTTTCAATTCACTTTAAGATCAATAATTCAGTCGCAAAAATGTTTCGTAATTCGATTGCGTTTTGATCTGTTTGCACAAGCTTTTGTATGTTATTGTGGGTTCGCATTGCCCAAGCATTTGGCAGTGGACACCACCGGTTTGTAGTTTGGTAAATAAGTATTTAATATAGTCCCACAAGAATCTTATGGCAGTTTTTTGACACTGACAGGAGGGCCTACAATTTTAAGTGTTACCAGTGAGCAAAAATTTTCTAACTTCTTTCGAAAGTCGTCCATGTTGCAACTCCAAGCAATTTATTTGCTACTTGTGACCTGAGTTCTCGTAGTAATTCCTTGCTATTTTGAATTGATACATCATAACACCTGCAATAAACCTGCATGTCAAAACAACATATGTATTTTGAAAATGGTAACATTATACGGTACTGCCACACTTATTGGTCAAAATATGACGCTGTCAAAATGACATTGTTAGTTCACATATTTTCCGATTGCCATGAGATCCTTGTGGACCTATAAGCTACTGTTATTAGCTGTTACTTTGTAATTTTATCCCTTCTGCCCATTTTGACCATAGTGCAAGGTTTTAATGGATTGATTGAAAGTGCAGTGACACTGTAGTTTTGAATTGTTTGGTTTTAGAATGGAGAGGGAATTCCATGATTTTATAAATTCAATTAGTGTACATACTCAAGCGTTTTTGCTTTCGATAATGGATAATCAGTTTTGATACATTCTGATACTCAAATTAGATATGGATATTTTTAAAAAATTTAAAAGTAATTTGAAAACCAAAAAAAAAATGTTTAATTTAAAATTGTTGCTTGATACTATCTATATAAGTTTTTAGTGTTTTAAGATTTATAAATAACTCTTTTTGTGCCTTTGTATAAAAATTTAAAGGGAAAAGATATTTGAAATTATGGTTATTCAACCATTAATAATGTCTTAATCATTGCATAGTAATCGTTTCTGTCGACTTTAGGCTATCCACTTCTCAGAAAACTACAAGCCTATCATTCAGTTTCCTTATTATAAGATTCCTAAGGTTAAATGATCTATTTTGTGACCTCTTACATTATCTCCATGTTGTCGCATATAATAATAAACAAAATGGTAGCAACTATCTCTGTCTGACATTATTAGAGCAAAGAGGTGAGAGCTTACATAGAGTAAGTACTAACTACATTTTTATATTTGTATATCAACAATTTTATTTAAGTTAACAATAAAATGAATTGGCGATTAATGAATTTTAAATAAAAATTAAAAAAAAAACATAAAATTATATTTGACAATTTGTAATTAGGTAAAGCAAAGAAATGTTACAGTTTTTATTGTAAACTATTTGTAACTAATGTCATAGAGAATTGTAATCTTTGCCTACCTCCTTTCAGATTGTGAGGTTACATATTGTTTATTACATGAATTACAATTTAAAGACACTCAATGTCCAGTTCATCACCAGTAAACATAGTTTTAGTGCCATAAACAAAATTGTATGTAAAAAAATATGCCAGTAAAAATTTAAATAAGATTACGTGTTTTGGCCATAATTTAATTAAATGAATTTATTTTTATTTTGTAGTGACAAGGGCGAAAGTGAAATTAAATTATAATAGCTCAGTGGCGCCCCTGTCAAAATGTCACTCTAACCTTATCGGACTGTCATGTTTTGTGTCATATTTTACTTCTAATCAGGCTTTGCATATCTTCTGACATAACTAACCGCTATAATAGCGTTACCCGGTCACATTGAAGTTAGGTTATTCTATCTTTAGCCTTCTTTAGTATTATTCTTGAATTTTTTTATATTTAAAGTCCGTGTAAAATTTATATTAAAGTTCAAGTTTCTTTAATTCATATTATTTACTCTTTAAACGTACGATGTAACTTTAAATTTTAGTACATGCCCATTAGTACAAGTAGATTTGTTTTTAGTATAATCAGCGTAGGACAAAATAATTTTAAGAGAGTTTTTATTATAATTTTTAAAATTATCATTTTCATATGGTTTGATGAAAATGATACGATTGTAATGACATTAAACTTTTGGTGTAATTACATCATCTCTAATCGTTTTATTTTATTAGATTTTTTCAATGATTTTGCACCCGAGCTGTGGAATTCCCCGAAATTCTATATCTCCACATTTTTATAAATTAAAAAAAAATGCAATGTAATAAAAATATATTTTGTAAATTGTTCAATATTCAAAGTTGGAACATGAAATAATTGGTTATTAATGTTTCCTTTGATTCAAGACTGATTTCTGATAGTAATTGTTGATTTTCTCTGATTCCGAACGTTCGAACGCCACAATGATGGAGTAAACTGGGACGGGAATGTGAGACAACAGAATGAAATCTGATTTTATATTATGACTGAGCACAAACAGTCCGCATATTAAATTGAATCCATACAGAACAAGGGATTATTTTGATCAAGCTCACGAAATGCAATGCTCTTAAATTTTTTTTTATCATATAAGTGTTTTATATAGTCATTGTAAATAATTAGAAATTTTTAATAGATATAAACTCGTGAAAATTCGACGCGTTCGTATTTTGTAAATAGTTCCGTTTATATATTTAGTAAATATTTAGAGATTGATTATATTTGTAAATTACATTGTAATAATAATAATAATACGAGTGTCCCAGTGTTTATTTGATCATTTTCTCTATGAACATTGTCACAAATCACAATATTGCATTTGTATGCTCGTCGTTGTTGGCAACAGTCAAATTGGAATGGTTGTACGATTAATTTTTTTTTGCATAATTATATTTTTTTAAACGGTTACAAATGTACGCGGCGGTGGGAGCCTGGGCTCGACTGCGGGTCGACCTCACAACACTCACATTTGGAACTAATATAAAGATAATATTTAATTGTATGTTTACATAACTTAATTTATAATCAAAAATGCAAACATTACCATAATTATGTTTTGTTTTTCTTTATCTTTCGATAGTTGTTTCCATAACAGCAGAATTACAACAAAATCTCTTTTAAAATATGTTTGTAAAATGATCTCTATCGAATGAAATTGAAAATATTTACAAATTTAATTGTGGTATTAAAGAGTAAATAAAATATATCACTATTTGACTCCACTGTAATGTTATGCGTTTTTTTATTCTCCATTGTTAAATACGAGTAATAAGGTACTAGTGTAAAAATATATCCATGTATCTACCAATCCTTATGAAGGTTGTATGTCCACGTATTGTAATTATTGTGTTATTTAAATCTTAATAATTTTATTACGATATTTAAACGAGTTAAATAGATTAAAATAGGATGAATTGTAACTTAATTGTAATATATATAAGTATACTTTAGCCCATAACAGCAATGGCTTTAGAGACAATTTGTAGTTTGATGAATTTAGTTCTTAATTATTTCATTGAGGTTAAATAACATTCGACATGTGATAAGTACAATTTCAATTTGGACTATGTTTTATTTGAATTAGATAGAGTTAAATACATCGATAGACATGATAATAAATTTTGATGTATCGGTAAAATTGCATGTTCATAGATCTTCAATAAATTCACATAATGTTTGTAAAATTTATGATAGTTTTAAGTTAGTTTTAGATACTATTGCCAATATGGTTATAAAGTTCGCTGTTGAAGAAAGTAAAGAGCTCACCGAATTGTTCTATTACAAAATGAGCAGGAAATATATTTTGTTGAATTCTGTCCTTGTCTATCTTTGTATTTAACTCTTTAATAATCTGTTAGAAAAATTACTATACAGTGCAGCTTTATTTTGTACTAACAAAAGTATGAAGATATTTTTTTACTTTGTACATAATGTTATAAATGTGATAATTAAATTTTGACATAATTAGTGATTGTGATTTAGTAAGGTGTTCCAGATTTGCAATTACAATTTGCTTTACTAAATGTTACAACTGCCCTACTGCGTACGTGTTCATAGCGTTGTTTTCCCATATTTTTTATATTTGGGTACTTATGTATAAAGTGCTGTTGTATTGTCTACTTATATATCGAATAAAAAAAAAACTATTTTCAGGAAATTGAGTGTTTCGGCCCAGTATTGTAAGAGCTCTGTGTCCCACCAATGCTGTGAATCATTTGCTTCCTGGGAAATAAAAAAAAATACCAAAATCTATTTCGATTTTTATTATTTTTCCTATCAATGGACTTATTTTATGTTTTAGTTCATTTTATCATTGAAGTACTCGACAACACAAACATTAACTGAAGGAACGGACTAAAAACCCTTCAAACATGTTCATGTTTTACAGAAGGTCGACGTAGTGATCAACCGTCCACTAACTTTAATGTGGATTAATTCCTTAATTGTTAGCCGATTTCTTTAATATATTGATTCATTTGGTCTAGTTTTGATAAGTGGCCGTCGAAAAAAATAGTGGACAAAGACCTGGGGCCCATAGTTCCCAGGACGGATCCGCGGTTGACTGCATGTTATTTGTCTATTCAATAATACGTCTATTTCGTTACGTAATGAATAATTAATAGATTGCAGATAATACGGATGCGCTGACGTATAATAATGATACACCGTTTCCGGATGCCTTACGATGTTGCGTCATTTCCGATAACGTTAACCTACTTTTATATTGTCCTTGTTATTCTTATAAAGTAGATAGTAAAGACATCATTATTCTTGGTGGCCTATTATATAATTAAAATGATTAATCTTATTTATTGTTCGTGGGGACTAAAATACCCATGTTATAATGCAAAGGCTGTCTCGCAATGGTAAAATTAATATAATTCAAAACTATGAATCGGTACATTTTAGTACACCGCATTTAAATAGATTTCCAACGTTCTGTTCTCTGTAATTCAGTTTATTGTATTTAATTCAGATCTAAGCAAAACCAGAAAGCGATTTATTTAGTCGACTGATTGAACGTTGTGTTGATAGCTTGATAGCTCTATGTTTTCCTCGAGGTTTTGTTTTTAAGGAAGACGAATATTGGAATAAAATTTCTATGAACTGATTCCAATAGGTACTTCGCTATTTGCGGTAGCTTTATCTATATCGCTATAGTGTCTCTATTTAAGATAGATTAGTTTGACAATTCAATTGAAAATTCACTAGAGATGGGTTGAGTAAAATCGATTAAGAATTTTTTCGATTTTCGATATTTGTTCTCATAGAACCTCTAATCAAAAATATCATGGTTATTGATTTTGAATAACAACATAAATAGAACTGTTTCTTTCTATTTCTACTTTATGCTTCATAAACATAAATAAATATGACATTAATCATAAATTGCTGTGTTGACGAACAAAAGTTTTTTTTTAAATTAATTTTGCGGTGCATAGACAAATAACTGTATAAATTCAAAAAGTTATAAAATAGATAGATTATAGGACCCATTTGTTCTATTAATTTTATTACAAGACCGAATCTCGATAGTTCACAGTTATTCGTTGTGCGCGACGGTTCGACACAATGTCAACCGTCTATTAAGAACAACATTTAGTCTTATACAAAATTAATTTGTTACTTTATAAGCGTCAGTTGTCAAACTAATCTATTTTAAATGAACACACTATAGGTACATTTTTAATATATTTTTGACAAGCGGGGAAATTATACTCAAGGACACATAAATTAAAAAAAAACATTGTAGGTACTTTTAAATTATTATATATTTTCCTTAATATACTACACTCCATGTCTCGCTGCTTCGTATAAATAAATTCACTACTATATAAATATTCTTCAAGGTGAAGGGTCACATACCATATGGTTAATCACACTGGTTGGCAAGCGGCGAAAAGATATTGCGTTGTTAGTCAAA